ACACACACACACACACTCTTTTCGGTCTTTCCCAGAATCTGAGATATAAACCATGGCAGCGCTCCAAGCCTCTCAGCATCTCCCCAGCTAGTTAGCTTTAATGAGTCTCCATTTCATTTGTATAATGAGGTTAAACATAATACTTATCTAGTAGGTTGTTACCAGAATTAAATGAGATGGTCTACGTGAGGAATTTCACCCAGTACTGACACATAGAAAACACTTGTTAAGTGTCAGCTATATAATGTTGATAAGAAAGATTAATTACGTAGGTGCTCAGGCTCCCCACTCGCTCCCTGGGAGGTTTAAATTCTCTCCTTGGATTACATTAAACCACCAAAAACTATGTGGACTACACACCTTCTTTGGCCACTACTGACCTGCATGGACCACAGGGGAGTTTAATGGTATCCTAAGCTTTTGTCAAGAATCACAATCAAAAAGATGTGCTGATGTGAGAACGGCCCATAAAAGTGTCAAAGGCGCCATCTCACTCCACTGTTCCAGGTCTCTGAGAAATTTCTTCGAAAACTGGTGCCAGAAATGTTGCCTTTCTCTTTCTCTCTCCTAAGACACAAGTATATTTCTTTCTGCCTTACGACTTACTGTACTGTACAATACACTCTACAACTTACTGCGTAATGTCCTGGGTGCCGGGAACTTGAGGCGGGTTTATAAGGCTTGAAGCACCTTTGTACTCGGAGCTCACATACGTGGGTCCTATTTCCCATGGTTCTGATTCCTTACTTCTGTGTGTCATTTGTTAAAATTTTATTATACATGGACCTTTTTTTTAAAAAAGGAAGTAAACAGTAGAAATATGAAAACTTCCTTTCAGTGTTGTTGCTAAAATTAAAGTACTAAGTTCTGAAAGTATGCTGGGCAGAGATCAGACGCCTAGAGAATGTTATTTTTCATTCCTTACTATGGCTACTCATTATCGGTACAATTTATTTCCCCTGCTTAGTGAATGCTAAACAGTATATCCAATAAGCCAAATGTCTTGTTCCTCTCCGCACACAGGTGCAGCCCCTCACAGGCCTGTGCCACCTGACACCTCAGCCCTCTGCCTCTCTTCTCCTGGAGAACACTTTGGTGAAGACTTCTGGTGTCCAGTCTCCAGCCCTTTTTTGTTTCTCTGTGTTGTTATGTACAACAACCCCTCTCCGCCTGCCACATCAGAGCAAGCCAAGGGCCCTCACCCCTCAGCTCTTGGGCATCATCTCCTGACACCTGGCCCAACCCTATCGAGACCACCTTAAGCCTCTGTACTACTGTCGCAGAGACGGCTTAATTCCTATGCGCCCTTCGTTGTAACTTGTTTTTCTTAAATACTTACAGAGAAACACTACAAAAACCAAAAAAGTATAGGTTAGTTCTAAGGACCCATCACCAGGTGGCACCCACAGCGACATCTTCCGTAAATGCAGCATATTACAATAAAATGAAGTAAATGTAGCATATTACAATAAAATGAACCAGACTACAGACCTCGTTCAGATTTCACCATGGTTTCTGCAGGTGCCATAACGCTTCTTAAAAATAACTCTCATTTTAAACTTATCCAGTACATCAGTGTTTGCCTGTAGAAGGCACTAGATTCTTCTTCAGGACTCACACGCCCGTGGAGAAATGGTACATTTTATTCCCTATTATTACTGAAATACTTGTAGGGGCTGATGTGGATGGATAGTTAATGTACA